ACCATCTTAAAAATTGCCCTATCAAAGGTAAGCAAGATTGGGACAATAACTAAAATTAAGTAACTATTAACATAATTATTACTAATTACTCGTATGTATGTTTTCTCCAATCTATTAACTTTTTTAAAAATTAAAATGTGGACAACATTTAGAGGGGTTTCAAGGTCTGTATCCAAAGCTTTTAAACAGCCATATAAAGCCCAGAGCCTCAGGTAATACATTTCTATCTAAGTAACAGTGTTAAGAAATACATTTAGTTAGAGATAAGATTTTTTCCCCTTCAGTATAAAAAATGAAAGTGGTTCTAATTATCTCTCTTCATAATGGGTATGTTTATGATTGAAAATGTTTTTAAATTACTTCATAAAGTAATTTTATCCATGTTACATTCTGCTCAACAATACTATTAATTACACTGGATATTTTTAATTTAAATAATTCAACTGTGGTTTATTCAATATCGAAAATAAAAAACCATCAACTTTATATGTGCGTAATAACTACAGCTAGCAGTACAAAGTTCTTAACCATCTGGGCCATATTCATTTAATAAATTATTTAAATATACTACTGAAAGCTGAGATACTACAGCTTTCAAATACTTAGTTTTTAGATATCTGAAAAGGGAAGTCAATTGAGATTTTAATAAGAATTCACCTGTCAATCACAATTGACTAAACATGGTTTGTAAATCTAAAGTTCACAAAAAAGCCCAAATGACTTCTGAAATTTGGAAGAAGACTGTTATTTTTAAGTTTCATTCAAAGTGACAGAATTTATACAATCTGTTTTTAAATATTATTAAATAGGAATCGCCTCATTCAACATTGAATATTGAATACTGAATAATCTCCAAGTAAGCATACTTTCATATTTGTAATGCAAATCTTATAGGGTCAACTAAAACAGCTAACGTTATCTTTATTTTTTCCACGTATGGAAAATGACAGTAAGTATATAACAATGAATTGTTATCTTTAAAAAGAAAGATCTTTTGAGCATATATAAACTGATCAACTGGTCTCAGTTTGAAAAGTTAAAGGAAATCAATTTTTTGAGTATATCTTCAAGTAATAAAAGAAAATATCTACTTTTATTTTCAACTTCTTATTAATTAATTATGATCAAGAGGAATAAAAAAACTAAAGGAACAAGTTGAATTCTATGGCAATGATAACAAAGACCTAATGGAGCTACAATAAAAAGTCATACAAAGTTTTATCTTCACCAGTTACTCTTCTGATTATTTATTTACCTCACTTGCACTTGCATTGAGTTTCATCATAAATTTAAATGTCTTGTTTAAACCACTTTGTTCTTTCAGAATTAGTTCTGAAAGTTTTACTATCACAAAAACTAAAATACAAACTTTTCAGGGGATATTGTGTGTTGTGCAATAAAGTACAGTATAACATTTAAGCAACAAAATTAATGAATTGTCTTAAGAATGTCAACTTTGTCTCATAAGATACTTTTGTTTTACTTAAAAAGAAATATTAAAAATGTTCCCAGCTACTTTTAAGTTTCTAGGAAAGAATAGTTTGACTAAAAGTGAAAATGTTCAATAAAAATTATATCAGAAATAGCAATATAAAATACTACTTATTTTGTACTCTGTTTATATAGTATAAAAATTAACATAAACAACTGTTCAAGAGTTTAATGTAGTAATCTGTATTAAGCAGCATATTCTAAGTCTGTGAAGCATTTGTAAAACTTCTTTTATCATATAAAATGAAGACTCAATTAAATGATTCTTTCCTCTTAATTAAAAAAACGAACCAAATTGCAGCACTTAACAATTCTCCCCTTTATATTAAACTACATTCAAAATTCAGTAAACCCTGTAATTTTATTTTAATTCCATTTACCAAAAAACTAAAATAGTTTTTAACACATCATAATCCTTTAATAGGTTCATATCTAATTTACAAACAAAAAAATAAAACATATATTTGATAGGGTAAGTTTTTTGCCCATTTATTTTCAAAAATTCCACAATGCCTTTTGACTGAATATGTGTTTTTAAGATGTCTATAATACATTAAAAAAATAATCAAAATTACCTCCAAAGTATTTTACCAAATCCTGTTTGTTAGTTAACACTTCAGGAATTAGAAGTGCAGAACTAATTATAGTCAACAGAAGTGTTGACTTTTCAACATATTGTAAGATATAGTTTGAGAGAAAAGTCTAAAAAGAAAATCAATAAACAGAACAAGCAGCTTAGTTAAAAATCAGTAGAATCAAGAACAAGTAATAGAAAATGATATAAAAACAGAAATAAAAACTATTATATTTAGTGAAAGCATATTTTTCTTGTTTTCCATAACAAAGCAAGCCTGCACAAGTTTACATTCAAATTGGTCCATAATCATGTGATTTCTGAATAGCTATCCAAATTATTTCCTTTTTTTATTCTAATTTTCTATTGCTCAAAAATAATTTTTGAAACTCAAGGAAATTTGAGAAGCAGTTTCTAGTGTTCTGTGATGTTTGTTGTGCTCACTCATACACAAGTGGTAGTTATACCAATTGTTATTTCTTTACAGATAAAAATACTACAAGATGAAAAATACTATATTTACAATTATAAAACATTAAAAAGTGAAGCTAATGAAGATTACAAACATAATTTTCTTAAACGAATTTGTTATTGTGAATTCTACAAATATAGTAAAATGAAATCATGTGAATCAATTACTAACTATCCAATCCTAAAGGGATGTAATATTAATGCTATTAAAATTCATGCAGCTTTATACTTATGAATTTATTTAGGATGTGCAAAATTAATTTATATTTAGTAGTGGGGTTTATTCCATTCGACTTCACATGATCCTGTCAAACATTTCAAATTTGCTTCTCCATCTTGCCTATTCAATATGGAATATGGCTTCCCATGATGTCTGATTATAAAGTTGTGTGTGTGTATGTATAAAATATATACCTATATACATGTACCTATAATGCATTAATGCACACACACACACACACACACACACACACACACACACACACACACAAATGCATCCATCCATCCTTTTTTGGATATATTTTTGAAGATACACCGGTACACAGACTTTCAAACTACAGAATTCAAAATATAAAACTGCTTCTGCAACAATTCTAAAGGACTTTATATACTGAAACATACACATGTGTATGCAACAAACATTTCTCTTTAGCTCTGCAATTACAGCTCTGAACAGAATGCATATCCCATAAACATGGGGATGTACCTCTTTCTATCTATTATATGAATGTCTGGAGCTTTCCCCGACAGAAAAAGATTTAATGTAAATTTATGTATTTAAATTTTAATAAATGATATTTAGAAGATTAATCAATCTAACTAGTTATTTTTCAAATTTCAAATTCCAATTTTTAGGATTTAGAATAAAAAAAATATCTGGAAAAAATATTTTGATTAATATTATCAACATATTTGATTTATTTCAAGAGTTGTTATCAATATAAAAATAATAATTTGTATTTCTAACCTTTTCAATCTAAAATAAAATACAGGGCTTATAGGCTTTTGAAATAGGGTTCTGCTTACTGAAGTCTGCTGCTGTTCTATTCATTCTTTTCAATGTGATTTAAGCAGGTCAACTGAAAATCTTTACAGTAGATTGTGCTTTCTCCCATTAACCATTTGTTATGTTATGGGAAAAAAAAAGTTCCTATTAAGAATGGTCATATTGTTTCACTAACCAGCATATTGTAGAAAGATTATTTAAAAGTATGAGTTATCTATTTGTATTTCAAAATTTAATTCTTAATTCTGAAACCTAAACTCCTTCCTCCACTAATTGCACAGTAACAAATGCAAAAATATAGATCTAAATTTCTGTCATTTTATATTACTTTCAGTGGTGATAGATACTTGACAACCATTCTCTTCTATGGAGGAATGAATACCTGAATAAAGCATGCAATATGTCACGTGGCATTAATTATCCATATCATTGTATTTCAACAGCTATTATCACAATGTGTAAAATGCATTCATTTTACATCCCACTTTTTTTAATCTGTTTTTTCAGCATTCTATTGAAAGAAAAAGGAAATGCAAATTTCCAACATATTTATTACATATGGATATAGATAAAGATATAGATAAAAATAAATGTCTAAACAAGCTGTTTTCTCCTATTGCTGATTAAAAATAATTTGGATTAACTGGTACTTTTCTCTAGAAATATTTGCAACAAGGAAAGTGCATAAGATATATAAATTATTTCATTAGCATGAATTTGTAGATATATTAATAAGAAAATTTTCATCTAAATGTTTTCCAATATTACTGAACATTGTGCTATTTTTGCACAGTATTTTCAAAATCAACTATTCAGTAAGCCATCAAATGGTATTTAGAAGCATTCGCTTCTATAAGTAATAATGCAAAAATGTGCACCCACTTTTATGATTGTCCATTAAAAAAAAGTAAGTGATTCATTCCATGATATAATAAGCATAAAGAATACACTATGTGTAATATGCTATATACACAATCTTCCAATAAGCAACTTTTCCCACATAATTTTATTCATTTATTTTGTTTCTTTATAGTTTTGCAGTAATAACATAGACCTACTCTTTAACTCTATTGTTCTCCACTTTCCAAATTCCTGAACAGGTTAGTTTGCAGGGATTAGTTTTTGCCCGAAGGCCCACAAAGTTTAAACTGAACTATTCTTGAACTAACTAAAAAACATCTTGGAAAGAGTATTTTTCAAGAATGATGTCCAGGAAACTGAAGCAAAGTTAATTAAGAGCAGCTGTCTAGATCTGTAGTGAAGTGGATCAGTATCCCATAAAATCCTCTAAAGGTTCCCCACTTTTAAATCAGTATGTACTTCTATTTGCATTGGGGAAATTTAAAATTTTAAATGTATTAAAAGTACTTTTAAATTCACATAAAATGAGTGTTAGTATATTTTTTAAAAAATCAATACACATTTTAGGATCATTACTGAATGGCTGTTCAAAATCAGATGAATTCTTATGTTTTCTTTTAAGTATTTCTCATTTCATAAAGATTGTATAAAACAATGAGCAAGCAGTGAATTTTTAACGCTTTGTTCAAACATTCAGAATCGGAGAACAAAAGATTTATTTTTGAAAACAAGAACTGTGGTTTATACAATTCCAGACATGAATCTGTTTTCAATTACTGAAAGTATTTCCACTTCAGTGGAAAGGGATCAAGTCTACAGCAACACAATTTTGGGGCAATGAATGCAATTATATTAAGCTTTATAAACAGAATGACTTTGTGACAGGATCACATAGTCTGCATAGCCCATGTCTGTTATGAGAGAAAAGAAAAGAGAATTATAAATAAGAGCACTGAATTTGCAAGTGTGGAGTGGAAAATATGATAAGCTTCTCCTTTCAAGTAGCATAATAAATGTCCTATATTTCCTGGCAATACTTAGTATTTATTTCTAAATCAACATTTTCCGATATTATATAAAAGTACACTATATTTTACGTTTATAAAGTTGGGTTTATATATTTAATTACTTTTTTCTCTTTTCTGCTATTTAAAAAAACAGCAATATCCTAAACAGTGCTTTACGGTGAGGTCCGTTATTTTTACACGCAGCCGATTCCTTCATTAGAAATATTTACTACTCTTTGAGAATGCCACGACACGTTCGCAATGATCAAGACCAAAAGCCTAAGGAACTCAACCCAATTTTGGCTACATCAGAAAGAGATGGAAGACTAGATGTGCTAGTCTAAGGCTTGAATGCAATAATTTACGCTTTTTTTTATCATCACACCAGTTCAAGAATTCTTTGAATGCTAAAGTGCTGTACGAAAAGAGCCGCTTAAGTAACCAGAGAGCTTTTTGTAAGAGCATTAGCACGTTGAGAAATAGGTAAAGTTAAGCTTTGCCTTTGCTAGATCTCCCTCTAGCTCTTCAAGGGTTAACAAGCCACCTCATTTCCAACGCTAATATTGCCTCTGCACCGATTCCAAGAGAAGAGCAGCCTCCTCCCATTCTAACGCCGCATCGGAACAAACACACATAAAAGGAGGAGAAGAAAAAACCGCACATTTACCTACAGCAGCACTAGCGCCTCTGTTTTGAATATTTTAAGTGGATCTTCTCGAAGTAAGTATTCACACTTTATCCCGGCTCGGCTGTAAGGTCAAAGAAGGGTAGCTTTTCAGTCACCCACCTTTCCGTGGTGATTCCGCCTTCTGGATGTGACGAGCTGAGCGCAGCCCTTCCAAGTTGAATCAGTCTATAATGTATCATGTTACAGAGCCTGGCTTTCTCTTCAGGCACCGAACAGCAATCAGACATGATAGGCTAAGGCTCCTCTGTTTACATCCAAGCAGGGGAGGGGGGCGGGGTTGGCATCGCTTAACCCTTGCCAAGCCACGGGGCGCCTCGTTCTCCCCAGTTCCTCGGACTTGCTGTAGGAGGACGGGGTTCTGAGCACGGCCAAAGCCGCTCGCGCTTTTTCGTCTCCCCCAAACGAACCTCCTTGCTTCTTTCAGATGTGCAGAGACTGGCGGAGCCCCCGACCCCAAGATAAGCTATCGCGCTGGAGGACTGCATGAGAGCAGACCTATTGCATAAAAAGGAGCCGGAACATGGAAAGCTATAGAAAGCAAAATAAAATTCCTCTTTTGTGGCAGAGCAAAAATGTAAAATAATAAAAAGGATAACAAATTAAATCTCTGATAAAGATGGGTGCTTTTTTTTTTTAAGCGAGTATGTATTTCTCAAAGTACTTAATTCTTTGACCGTTAAGAATGATTTTCTCCGACAACCTGAAATTGCAAAAATCAGTTCTTCCCAATGGGCGTCTTGGAGAACTCCTTTGACTGGGGTCTGTGGAAGCTCCGCAGATTTAAGGATCCCTGCCTGGCGGGTTCAGGCTTCTGCTCTACTCAGACGCAAACAGCCTTAAAGATACGTGATGATCACCAACTGATTATCTGATCCCGTAGCATTTGCCTTTCTGATCCAGTAGCGTTTGCATCGATCTACCGATAGGTTATATTACGTTAAGCTACCATTTCTGGCTGCAGAAATCCGGATAACCAACAAATAGCAGCAAAGGGCCACAAAGGAAATAAAGGAGAAAAAAGGACATCCCTACAAGTCTCTTGCCAGTTCCGCCAGATTTCTGCAGACCAAATATAGTAGCCCTAATAAAAGTGTTTTGAGCTGGTGCAGAAAATGCAAAATGGATTAAAAAACAGGATTCATTTTTAATATATATGCGTAATTCTCTTGAGAATTATTGACACAGATCTATCAGCATTGCAAATACAGAATCCGATAGTTGGAAATTTACAAAAAATTAAAGTAGCTTAGATGAAACATAAAAATTAGAAACTATCCAGAATATTGCTATAAAGAAGGATTTATCTCCAGGAAGTAAGGAGAAAACCCATTGGAAGCCCATGGCAATATTTTTGAAGGTTACAGGCTTGTGGACCTAGAAGAATAAACGGGAAAAAATGCTTTTGCATTTGGAATACCTGCAGCCCCAGATCTTAGTCAGAAACTATGGGATTATTAACAGATCTTGGTTCTCTTTCACCTCCTGGTTGAGTGGAGAAAGATTTTGCAAACCAAGCCAAGTGATTCTTCCGAAGGAACAGACCAATTGTGTTATTTATACACTATTCCTACATTATTTGTAAAGTGTTTTTATTTAGTTAAATTTAGCTTTTTAATACTGTTTTTTTTAACTTATTTGGCTAAAAGCAACCTTAATTAGAATCACATCAATTATTGGCATGAACACTGTGTATGAATTAGCTCATATGTGTGCACTTTGCTCAATTTATGTTTATTTTCCTCCCAATCTAATCAACCAACAGGGGGCTGTACAGATCTTGACGCTAATTTATATCAGGAACATTTAAACATTTTGCTTTTAAAATTTTCGTTTAAAAATTATCATAATTCATAATCTCAATTTTATTCTATGATGTATACTGCATTGCTTGGTATTCCTGATATTTGTATTCTGCATCAACAGTGATTTTGATGATTAATAAACTTAATCATTAAATCAATTACTTATGAACATGGAAAATCATAGCTTTATCATATTTGCAAATTCTTTGTTATATACCTGTTTTTATTATTTGCTATTATTTTATATGGTTTCTTTATCAAAATATTCAATAAAAAACCCCTGGCTTGTTCATCTAATTGTTTCATCTCAACCTTCTGCAAGTAAACAACGTATTTACTACTACATGTAAACTAAGTCTGTTTCTATTATATTTTTCCACTGGTTTCACATGAGTTTAAGGGCCAACTTTCATACATTTAAGGTTTAAAATTATTTTTTCAAAATGAATATCCTCACATTCTGAAATTTTCTATTGCACAATGTACAATATGTTACTAAGATTCAGGGTTTTTTAGTATTCTGAAAAAAAATATAGTCAATAAAAAGTAATATTTCTCAAATTTGGAAATAATTTCAAATAATTTAAAATACAATTCAGATTCACAAATACCAATATATTTATGAACATTCTATGACAGCTTTTTCAATTCTCTATCCAGAAGTCAGGCAATCATCAATATAAAGACAATTTACCAACATCTCTTCAATTGTCAATGAGCTTCTTAAATTCCCAAACCATTCAGTGCATAAAAATATCAGATACTAAATTTAAGATAGAGAAACCCAAAATTATCTTAAAAAGTGTCTTAATAAGTATTAAAAAACCATAATTCTTTCCAATTAATATATAAAATGGCAGTAAAAAGACCTACAGAAAGAAAATTTATGAAGCAATGTATTATGAAAAGAATCCCAAAAGATAAAAGATTAAAGGAAGTTATAGCACAGAGATAGCAAATGGGCAAAATAAAATTATGAAAAAGGACAAAGGCAAAAATTATTCTAAAATAAAAGAAGATGGGAGGAAGGATAAATGGAGATTTAATGTACCTGTATTTCATCATTATTGCAAGGCCCTTCTGACTTCATGGGAGGATGGGGAGTCAACAAAATAACATTGCCAAAACCCCACAAATCTTGGTTTGCCTTACAAACCACACCTTGCATATTAGTTAAAATTGATTCTTCCACACTTCTTTGGATGACAGATAACTTAGGAGATATATGGGAGAGACTGAGGCAACTTCTCATATTTCTGCTTCAGCTTGGTGGACTACAATATTAATAATATCTTTTTCTGCAAGTTAGAGCAATGTGGTAGAATTCATTGGTCTATCAAGATACTATTGTAAAACAATTACATTTTCTATATTGAGTTGCATAATATTAACATTTATCTTTTTTTCTGATCATTAAAAAGAAAAAAGAGCACCTGTGACATTACATAGCCTTTCTTAGTGAGCACAACTATAGAAATTACTATATGGCCTAATTCTGCAATCAGAAATTATTATTTATTAAATTTACATGCTGTCCATCTTACTTTGGAACTACTCTGGGTAGTTTATACCAGTAAAAACATAAAAACATAAAATTATAAAAAATGTAAATTTAACAATAGTAAAACAATAAAAAATAAAAAGAATGAAATTACAGCAATATGATTAAAAGTTGGGCAGGGAGGGAGCAGGCTGCATGGGGTGATGTGGGATCTTTTATTAGTCACCTCCAGTTTGGTATTCCCCCAGTGGGTCCCCTGGCCAGCTGGCAGAGCCAGGTCTTCTGGCTCTTAAGAAAAGGCCAGAAGATATGGGCAGACCTTACCTGGGGGGGGGGGGGAGGAACAGGATGTTCCAGAAATATGTTTAGTTTGCTATAATCATGGCTTCGGAACCAAGGAAATAAACAATTGATTTTTTTAACCAAAGGAGATTTAGCATATACTCATATTTTATATGGTTATACCTCTCATTAATTTCAGGGAGCCATTTCAACGTCAACTTTGTTAGATTACATATCAGTTCATATATATATATAATATCCACTATTATATATATATATATATATATATATATAGTGGAAACTATCCACTAGTGGATAGTTTCCACTATCCACTAGTGGAAACATCTTGGCGATGTTTCGATGAAGTCTCATTCGTCATCTTCTGGCTGGTGTTTTCGGCTTCGTGCTTCTAGGAGCAATTGCTCCTAGAAGCAATATATATATGGCAACTACACTAGAATATACATTTGGAAATTAGACTTTAGGGGGAGAAATAGTGAAGTTAAGGTGGCTTTGCTTAAAGTAAGCTGACCACCCACAGCAGAATGAAAAGTAGACTGGTTAGTAGATCAGCTCTTCTTAACTTCTCTCCAGACAATGATATGACTTGAAATAGCAATTAAAGGACAAAAACATTTAAATTTGACTTACTAATCCATAATGGAATAAAATATTTTAACACTGAACATACTGGAAGATACTTTTGAACAATGAACCCAGAAGTTAATTTTAAGAGAGTGCCTCTATAGAAGCACTATGTTTAAAATATGTTTTGGACAAGTTTTACCAGAGAAGACTGAGATTGATCTGGAAGTGGATTTAAAAATGCTGCACTGGACATACAAATGAAACCGGCTGATGTTTTAATAATTAAAAAGAACATACAAATAACAAACCAAAAACACTGAGCTGGATAATTCTCCTATATTGGAATTACAAAAGGGGCTTTGAAAATTTTTGTGAGAAAGGACAAAATAAAATGAAAAGAAATTAAATTATAGAATATTATTTGAAAGGATAAAAGACTGTTAAAAATAAAAGGAAGGAATACAAATGTTGTTTATTTGAGCAAGGTTAAGATAGGTATTTGGTGTTTCTGCTAATCCTTAATGAAGTTGTGCGGGTTAGGACTGAACAAAAAGGCTTTAAAGATATGTATATAAATAGATGGGGTATGGGAAGGAGAGATCATTTCTTGTATTTTAAGGAGATGATAATTTACTAAAATAGTTTATATTTGTTGTGGTGAAGGTAGATATAATTTGTTTATATTTTTATTTTTATTTCTTTTCCATTTTTCTATTTTGTTCTTTTCTGTATTTTCTATTTTTCTTTTTATTCTTTTATCTTTTAACTGTACTTTTTAATAAAATTAGAATATACATTTAAAAAGTTAAGTGTATGTTTTAGGTGTTTTCATAGAATGATTGCCTTATCATTTGAAGATATATTAATGACTTTTGTTCCCCAGCTACCTACCCATCTACAGTACACTCTATTGCCCCAGCTTCCTTTTTGGGGGAGGGAGGGGTCATTGGGCATTTTAAAAGATTGAACTGCAGCTCTCTATCATGCTGGAGGTACAGTTGGAAGGGAAGAGAATGCTAGAGGCAGGTGATTTGCAACATGTTAGTTTCCTATCCAATCTTTTTTGTGAATTAAAAGATTCTCTCAAAACTCTATATTAACATATCTAGGCATATTAATCTACATTAATATGTAGACATATTAATCTACAGTCACCAAATTGGCTATCCCTCCTTTACTGACTCTAGGAAGGAATGCTAGAGTTGTTACACTCAGTAAATCAGATGTTATCTTTTCTTAATTTCTGAAAAAGCCAGAAAAACAAAATGGTTATAATAATTCCTGACATGATTAAAAAGGAGTTCCCTACCTATTTGTGTAGAAATTATTATAGACAAACATAGATGCAATGCTGAAGATATTTATTATCATAATTCAGATATTATATTTCAAGATCATAAAAGCTAGCACTGAAGAGCTCCATTTGAGATGTGTA